GCCTGTGCAGTCCATGGGAGACTCGGTCAGCTTTCCATCACTGTGACAACACACCCACAGAGTCCACTCAGAAAGGAGGGGTTCGTGGAGGCTCACAGTGTGGGGGGCTCAGTCCCTGGTTGCTTGGCTCTGTCACTTTTGGGGCTGTGGCAAGGTGGCACATCATTATGTGAACGTGTGTCAGAGGAAGCAGCTTCACAGCAGCTGCAAAGCAGGGGGCAGCATCCCACTGTTCCCTTCCAGCCCACGCCCTCCCACACCCTGTGACATGTGGACTGGACCTGAGTGAGAGTCACCTGGCAGATTAGTTCTTTTTTTTTTTTTCTTTTTTCCAAGTACTGGGGATCAAACTCAGGGCTTATGCTTGCAGGGCAGTGCGTGCCGTTGAGCTACACCCCCAGCCCTCACCGAGCAGATTAGTAAAGGCATGAGATGGTTGCCCTGCTGTGGCAGCTGTCCCCGTGCGGTGGCCAGGGTGCAGGATGGGGCCGGCAGAGCAGTGCAGGGCCCCAACCCCACCTCGGCCCGTGTGGAGGGTGACGCTCTGTCAGCAGTCAGCGACAATGCAGGAGCTGCGCCGTGACTCTCCACCACTTCAGACCAGAGCAGTCAGGGACACAAATGTAAAACAAGTGAAACCACAGCATATTCTGGGGAAAGTGGCTGCTTCTTTGATGTCAGAGTGGACGTCCCAGTTGGCTAGAGAGAGTGTCTGCTGTGCTGCCTTTCCGGGTGGCAATGAGGGTGATATTTGCTCGCCTTTGCAGAAAGAAGGTACACGAGAAACTGCTGATGGTGGCTCCTGAGGGCAGGGGCTGGGGGTGGCAGTGCAGGTGGGCAGGGAACACAGCTGAGTTGTCAGTGTCCACCTTCTTTTCTTGTGGTGGAGATCAAGCGAAGGGCCTCGTGCACGAAAGGCACATGTACCACCACTGAGCCACACCCCAGCTCTGTGTCTGTCCTCTAATGACATTTGGATTAAACATAATACTTAGGGGAAAGGAAATTAAAAGCACCAGACTTGGCCAGTCATGTGACAAAGCTTGTCAAGAACAGAAAAATGGGGCGAGATATGGGATACAGGAAGGTGCTTCACAATTCGATCTAATTCACTGAGTGGGCAGTCAGTGACTGGCAATGGAGCTCAGAAGTTTAAAAGGTCAGCTTGGTCCTCATCTGCCAGCCACCAACTTCTCTGCCTATACGCAACCAGAATTTCTTTTTTTTGGTACCGAGGATCAAACTTGGGACCTTGTGTTTTGCAACCAGAATGTCTATAACAGCTTCCCAGAAATACTGTATGCATATTATTATAATTCCCCATTTTTATGTCAAAAAAAGATAACACAGGATCACTTTCTTCAACACGGAATAACCTTTGCTTAATAATATCTTGGAAATTGTCCTGTACCATCCACAAGCACAGAGCACTTTCATTTTTATGGCTGCATCATACTCCAAACTCTTGAGCCCTTCACAGTGTCCTGAACAATGTTCTGTCGAGTGCTGTGGACACAGACTGCCCTGTGCCTATCTGCAGGACAGACTCCTGGGACTAGTGGGTCCAAGCATTTGTGCCACTGCTGTGTGGACATGGATGAGAGAATTGTCCTCTGAGCTGGATGTGTATGAGCAGCAACAAGAAAAAGTGCTTTTGCCTCAAAGCCTCACCAATAACGTAGACTTCAAAGCACCGCGTGTCTGGGTCCACAGGTGTCCCCAGTTTGATGTGAAATGCTAGTCCCGATGCAATGGGGCTTGGAGATGGGACCTTGGGGAAGTGACCGAGGTGCAGACAAGGTCATGAGGGTGGAGCCCCGGGCGGGACAGGGCCAGGTCCCCACAAGAGGAGGAGGAGCAAGTGCGATCCTTCTGTGCCTGCCAGGAGTCTTGAGAAGCTCAGGCTGCTGGCTCTTGGCCATGGCCTTCCCAGCCCCGGTCTGGGTCATCTGTAAAAGCAGAGAAACCGACGACTAGGACACAACGTTTTTATCTTTGCCAGTCTGATCCAAAGTGACATCTTTATGTATTTTTTCTCTCTAACTATTTTAAGATGGAAAGTTTCAAACTATAGGAGAACAGTTTCAAGTACACCACCATCGCTGCCCTGAGAGGGGCCTGCCCCCTGTCCTGGTCCACCCTGGCTTGCCAGTGCCTGCAAGTGACAGGTGAGGGGAACACAGGCCTCGAGTGGGCGGAGCCAGTGCCCTGCACCAAGTCGCACCCAGCCCTTAACGTTTCTGTCTGGAATGTGTCACTGTTGTCCAGGGATGGTCCCTGTTACAGCCTCTTCATGCTACAGACCCCCTTCCACTGCTTTCCGCTGTTTAGGGTGAGGGGGCAGAACACACCGTCCGACATCCTGGAGACGCTGTCCCCCCTGTGCCGTGAGCACTGCACAGAGGAGGGGACGCTGGGCCCTGGCTGTGCTTTGGCAGTGAGAGGGCGGCAGACCCCAGGCAAGGAGGGGCGGAGCGGGGAAGAGAGGTGGGAGGGGCTGGTGGAGAGGCGCAGGCCCGGCAGGCTCACTGCCAAGGCGCGGCCAGAGCTATTCCAGAGAGGCTGCCGGGCCAGGCACGGGGAGAGGAGTGCGTGGCGGGAGTCAGGGTGCCCAAACCTCGGGTTCCAGAGTGGGGGGATGAGCGGTCCAAGCCACAAGCCAGGAGTGGGGGGCTGAGGCAGGATGGGAAGTAGAGGGGGACACTGGTGGAGCAGCTGAGAGGCACCCAGAGTGGAGGGGGCAGGGCAGGGCAGGGAGGTCCGTCACTGCACCTGTCTGGCGCGGCTGCTGGGACAAGTGGACCCTACAGGGGGGTGGAGCCTCTGGAGAACAGCCAGGGGTGGGGTGCAAGCAGACTGGGAGGAGGCAGCACGAGGGACTTTGCCTGCCTGAGATTCGGGTAGGCATGCCGATGGGGATGGCGTGGACAGAGGGTAGGGGAGGCGCCGGGGATGGCAGGTGGGGGGCTGGAGGCGGAGTGGCGGGAGAGCAGGGCGTCAGGTGTCAGCACTGGAGGCACTGGTGGTGCCGGCGGGGTGCCGCAGAGGAAGGTGGTGGAGGAAGGGGGCTGAGGCGTTGGTGTTGGAGGTGCGGGCGGAGGTGGAGGTGTTGGCGTCAGGGGCACTGGCGCTGTGAAGGCAGTGGAGGAGGCGCGGGCAGAGATGACGGCGGTGAGGACCCTGATGTCTGAAAGGCAAAGGCTGAGTGCTGGGTGCAGAGAGGGTGGGACGTGGCTGGGGGAGAGAGTCGCCAGGGAGGACCAGGGCAGAGGGCTGGAGAGGCTTGGTGTTCACCCTCTCAACACTGCTGGGTCATACCTGGGCCCTATGTGTGTGTCCTAGGCTCCCCGAGGGGTCTGCAGAAACCCCCTGTGCCGGGAAAGGACTGGGGGCTGCTCAGGAATGCTGGAAAGGGTGAGGCAGCACAGATGGCAGCGGGCAGCTCAGTGGCCCCAAGGCCAAGGGCCAGGGACATGGGGAGGGAGGTGGTCCCTAGCCTGCACCACTTCCCATCCGGCAGCCTTCTGCAGGTGCATCCACATGCTGCGTCTGGGCCGCGTGTCCACCTGGACCTGCTCACGCGACCTCTCACCCAGTGTCCTTGCAGAAGGCTTCTGGCCTGCACCTATCTCTGCGTGGTCTACCTGCCTGGGGAGTCTCCAGGACACCTCTGAGCCTTTCTTTGTTCTTGGTGCCCTGCAGAGCTACTGTCCCAACAGAGGCCCCAGGCCTCTGACCACATTGGGACAACACAGGCACAGCTGAGTCCTAACCTTCCTTCATCAAAGGAAGTTGGATTCTGGGACTAGGGGCCACTGCAGGCCTTTCCACATGCCTGTTTACCACCCAGCCAATGGGTCAGGCTGGATGCCCTCCAGGGAGGGTGTCAGGGGCCTGTGCTGCCCAGGAATGGGGCTGTCAGCTTTGGTAAAAGCTCCAGCAGTGGGCCAAGTGCCATCTCACCTTGGCAGAGCAGTGCCAGGCTGAGCAGGGTGCAGGGGCCCAGGAAGCCCCTCCCCAGGCTGCCATACAGCAGCAGCCTTTTCCTCCTCCTCCTCCCAGCTGGGAGGCTGGGCTGAGCCGTGTGCCCTACAGGGAACATGACAGGGCTTCCTATGGGACGTGATGGGGCCCAGGCACAATGGGAGTGGGGGGGGGCAAGGACTTGCATCTGGACCCAGGCTTGGGAAGGGCACAGGAAGTGGCCTAAGAGTGGACAGGCCCATCTGGACCCCACACAGCCTGACCTCCGGGGACCCTGTGGCAAGCACAGCCCTAGCTGCACTGAGCTCAGGGTCTCCTGGGGCCTCCCTGAGTCGAGCAGGTGCTTTAGCCTGGGGAGGGTGAAGCTGACAGCACATGTAAGGGCCATTCTCTCTCAGCTGCCCCAAGAAGAGAAGCCCAGCCCAGAGACAGGGCTGGGGCCACCTCATCCCTGCTTAACATGCCAGGCAGGTGGGGGGAGTGTCCACTGGTCCTCAGCCCAGAGGCCAGGCAGCTCACCTACCCAAGGGGCCAGGTCTGCCCAGCCACCCACTCAGGAGAGCTGGACGGTGTGGGGCACAGTAGCTTCCAGGGACCCAGGTCCTCTCTGAGGGAGGCAGGAATGAGGGAGGGAGGGAGGGAGGGAGGGAGGGAGGGGATAGGACAGGGAAGGAGGGAGACACCAGCCACAAAATCAGGAGGTCTCACCTGGCCCAGGGTTGGCAGGCTTCCTGGAGGGTACAGCCTTCTCCTCCAGGCTGCCGTCCCAGCCTGCACCTTGCAGGGGCCTCCCTGTGGCCCTCTGCCCCAGCCTCCGGCAGTGGAGGGCAAACGCGAGGAAAGACTGTGCTGCTGGTTATCAGCCTGGCCCACTGAACCCACCCTTGCAGGAGTACGTGTGGTGTCCAGGCACAGCTCCCAAATGCCCACCACCCACTGGCCCTCCTCCCAAGCCAGTGGTGCCCACCCTTCATGCCCTGGCATCCCCAGGAATGACACAACTGTCTCTACCTGTGGTGGGCTTTATTACACTGCCATTGTGACAACCATGACGTGGACACACAGCAAGATGGCACCTGTCTCCATGGCCAGCCCAGGCAGTGGCAGGCAGAGGCTCCCCACCGAAGCTGAGGGGGACAGCTGTCTCCCGGGTCACTCTGCAGTCGTCCCAGCCGACAGGCTCCACATGCCACTGCCCCCCAAGCAGTATCTCAGATACATAGATCTACGTAAGTGTGCATATTTTATCTGAACCATCGCCTACAAAATTAAAACTGATCATTCTCATTACATTCACGTCACAGTAACTGTGCACAAAGACAACAAACCCAGTGTTGGTAACGCAGGGCAGGCATCCCTGCCCTAGGAAAGCACTCAGGGAAGCCAGTGACAGTGCTGTGCCTGCTAGTGGCAGCTGCTCTCCTGCTGGGTGCTGGACACACAGGCAAACCCAGAACCCATAGCACGTGGCCATGTCCCTCCAGCCCCCATGAGGTGGGGTCAGGAGCCAGGACCACCAGAAGCAGGTGTCCCTCACTCATCTCTCTGGGGCTGCAGTGGTCCAGGTCCCAGGCTGGCCGCAGAGGCACCAGGAGAGTAGAGCCCGTAGGAAAGTGGACAGCAGTCTGTCCCCCCACCAAGAAGGCGACTGGCATTTGACTCTGGATCAGGCAGACAAATGAATATAACACCAAGCGTTATGAGGAGACAATGACTGAGACTCAGTCAGACTCCGTCCCTGTGCCACTTCCAACCACAGAGAAACAGCCTGGTGTCCTGGTGACAGCCAGGTGTCCAGGCAGCTCTGCTACTTGCTGCCCCACTAGAGGGTGGGGGCACCCCCACTCCACCTACCCCATGCTGTAACCATCAAGGTTCCAGCAGCAAGACTGGTGTCCAGGTAGCTGGCCAGAAGGACTTCCAATGCAGCAAGCGTGTCCTTCCCATTCTGGGGCCAGTGGGTGTGGACTCAGTGGGCTGGTGCGGCTCTGGTCCAAGAGATCCCAGCCTCTCCCTCCCCATATGATGGCAGCACCCACCCCTGCTCCAGTGGGGAAGAGAAGCCCTGAAGACGTAGCTCCTGGTAACCCTGTGCTTCTGGTTCAGAAACACCTGAAGCCCCAAGGAGACCCCTGGAAGGTGGGAGAGACCCCAGGGGGAGCTCCCTGCCCCCACCCCAGGGATGCCTGGAGGCACACTGGACTGGCACTTGCCCCATTGCCCATTGGCAGACATCTGGCGGCCTCAGGGAGGCCTTTTCTGAGTCCAAAGATAATCCATTTCCAAATTCCCAGTTTCTCTGCCCAGACTTACGGTGAGGTCAGGATCACATGCTCCAGAAGTTCCACCCCAGTGACACTGACCCGAAGGCCACTGGCTTTAGCTGGCTCTCCTCCTGCTGCCCTGGGGACCCTGCTGTGGCTGCACCCCTTAACACCACTTGCTGTGCCCCAGGCCTTCCCAGCAGGGGCCCCTGCTGCCACGCACCAGGGGTGGTCTGTTTCCTTCCGACCTGTGAGTCACTGCAACTGGGGAACCAGGCTCAGAGGACACCCAAGCATGCCAGAGAGGTGATCAGAAAAGCCCTGGACACCTGCGTCAGCCACACTGAGAACCTGAGGCCCAAATTCTGTCCTGAAACCTGGCTGGGAGGCAGGGAGGACAGCCCCCTCCGCAAACACAGCTCCTTCCATCCCCGGGACCCACCCAGCAAGGGGTGTCACACCAGCAGGGACTTGGCCACTCCGCAGTGGAACTTGCGCACATGGCGGTACAGGTCCCCAGACTGCGTGAAGCGACGCTCACACCAGCGACAGGCATGCGGCTTCTCCCGCGTGTGTACCACGGCGTGCCGGCTCAGGTTGTGGGAGTACTGGAAGCTCTTGCCACACTGCATGCACGTGTAGGGCTTCTCCCCCGAGTGCGTCCGCTCGTGCCGCTTCAGTGTGTAGGTGCACGAGAAAGTCTTGCTGCACAGTGGGCAGGTGGGCACGGCACCGTCGGGCGAGAGCCGGGCCCGGGTGGCATCCCGCTCACGGAAGTGTGCACTGAGGTGCTGCTGCAGGGCATGGGCGCTGGGGAACAGCTTGCAGCACAGCGGGCAGATGCAGAGGTGTCCTCCAGGACCCAGCTCCTCTGCAGCGCCCACCACCGGCTGGGAACTCAGCTCCAGCTCCTGGCTGGCCACCTCGCGGCAGGGCAGCAGCTCCAAATCCAGTGGCAGGCACTGGGCTGTGGGGGCACAGGCTGGCTGCAGGGGGCCGCGGCTCTCCCCCTGTTCCCACGGTGAGTCCTGCTCATCCTTCACCAGAGACGGGGAGCCTCGCTGCCTCCGGCTGCTGCAGACTGGTGTCTGGGGCGGCTCTGACCTCGGGCCCGGCTTCAGCGACAGGTCCAGGGCTCGGTCCGACTCCCGTGGGGCCTGCCAAGGGGCAGGCCTGGATGCTGGCAGACGGAGCTTGGCCGTCAGAGCAGCCGGGCTGAGGTCCGGGGTGCATGCAGGCAGGGGGCACGGTGGCCGGCCCTGCGGCTCTGCCTCGGGGGCAGGGACGCCCCGGTGCAGCACCGGGCTCCTCTCCCTGAGCCTACCCTTGCAGACCTTGACGATGTCATACATGTGCAGGTAGCTGGCGGCGGCCAGGACGTCCTCGACGGGCAGGCTGCGCAGGTCCAGGCGGCCCTCGTACATGAAGTCCAGCAGGAGGCCAAAGGCGGGCGCCGTGACGATGTCGCCGTTGAGCCGCACCGTGTCGCGGCGGCCGGCGGGCCGGTCCCTGTAGAAGAGGTGGAAGTAGACGCTGCACGCGGCCAGCACGGCGCGGTGCGCGGGGAAGCGTGCGTCGCCCACCAGCACGGTGCAGTCGCACAGGAAGCCCAGGTCGCGCTGCTGCCTCAGGCGGCTTAGTAGCCGCCCACCGTGCCCCGGGAACTCCATGCCGCCGCCCTCATCGCAGGCGCGCGCGGGACGCCCGTCAGCGCGCCGGGGACGCGCGTGCCCGGGCCTCCGGGCACCTGCCGCGAGCCGGAAAAACTCGCCCGAAAGTAAACAGAAGCCGCGCCACCGCGGGGAGCCCGGCGCCCCCGCCGCCCGCGCCCCTGAACTTCACTCCGGCGCCGCGCCCCCGACGTCGCGCCCGCGCGCCTCCCTCGCCGGCCGCCGGGAGCCGCCGCCCCCTTTAAGGCAGCGGGGAGCGGGGAGCGGGGCGCGGGGCGCGGCGGGCGGAGCCGGACCCCCGCTCCCCTCACCGGCTCCGCCCTCCGCTCGCCCCGCCCCGGGAGCGAGGCAGCCCCACCCGGGCGTCGGTTAGAGGGGGCGGGCCGAGGCGACTTCCCGGAGCGGCAGAACCTCTGAGGTCACCTCGCCACCCCGGGCCGGCCCGTCCCGTCCCGCGCGCAATCGGCAGGGGCGCTGCGGGCGGTGGGGTGCGGGGCGTGGGGGGACGTGGGGGCTCTCGCGATACTTGTCGCCCGGCCTCCGCCCCCCCCCCCGTGAGGTCCGCGTAGCACCCGTTTGCAGAGGTCCCCTGCGGAGCGCCGCGAGGGAGCAGTCGGCAGACCAGGCCTCGGAACCCCCACGGGCACCGGCCGGGGGTGGCGAGGGGTGTGGGAGGAGGCGCGTGCGTCTTTCTTGGAAGGAAGCCTTCCCTTGGATCCACGCCCAGACGCAGTGGGGTCTCGACCCCGAGTCCAGCAAGGGGAGCCCCACCATCTTAGACCCTGGACAGGGTGGGGAGGGACGCTAAACTGGGTGTCCCAGAGCACAGGACAAGGCCCTGGGCAGACAGGGTGTCTGGGGAACAGGTGGCCAGCGGCGGGAAAGAGCTGGCGCGGGGGACCATGACCGAAGAGGGGACACGGAGAGGGGGAGGTGTCCCCGCGGAATCAGGGTCGGCGGGGATTCGAGGAGGCGCCGGTGCTTCCCGGGAGCGACAGAGCGATGGGTTTTGGAGCGTCTGGGAGGCTTCTTCCTGGACACAGCCTGGGGGCGCTGTCCGAGGCGAGCAGGGTCCGGGAGGGTAGTCCCGTTAATGAGGCGCTCTAGACTTTATTCCCTTCAGGGTAAGGGGAGGGGACTGCCCAGGGCCATGCCGCAGGTGTCACATTGCTGGGCCAGGGTTCCAGTCCCACCAGCCTCATGTGGAATTCCTGCCTGACACTGCGTCCAGGGATGGTGGGTGTGCCAGATGGGTGGGCGCGTCTGTGCTGGGAGTGGGCAGTGGTGGAGTGTGACTGTGTGGGGTGGTGGACGATAGGGGATCACCAGGGTCAGGCAGTGGGGAGTGGGGAGCCCAGACCTCGATCCTCAGACTGGGAGAGGAGTGCCCAGCTGTGAGACGCCGGAACCCTGGGCGGCTCCAGACCTGGTGGTTTGGAGGGCTGCGGGGCTGCCTGAGGTCCTGAAGCCCACAGAAATTAGCACCTGAAGTTTACGGAAGGAAAGCCCCCTTGCTATATTAAAACATTATTCCTTGTTTATCTGAAATTCAAATTTGACTGAACATCCTGCAATTTTATTTCCTAAATCTGGCAACTGCAGTTCCGAATCCTGGAATCAGACCGCACGCCTGGCCCTCAGGCAAGCAGAGGGGCAACAGACCCCTGGCTCCCACAAGAGGACCCTTCCTTTCCATAATGTGCCCCTCGTCAGCTGGGGTCAGGCCAGCTCAGGGTAGAGCCTGTAAGACCACCCCTCTGGGCCGAGCCCAGCCTCTCCTGGCCTTGGCCCCTGCCCTCATCCCATGAGCCTTGATAACTCCTGGCTGCAAAATGGGCATCAGAGCACGACCCAGAGGCTCAGAGAATATTAGTCACAGGGCCTCTTTGCTGCTGGTCACTCAGCCCAGGACGGTTCACCCCCCTAAGCCCTTCATGGCCCCTCTTCATTCCTGTCTCTGCTCGCAGGTCCTGTCCTAGAGCTAGGGTGCTCTTCCCTGGTCCTCTGAGCCCCCCCAATCCTCCCTGGCCTTCTCCAGGTACCCCCTGGACCACTGCCGAGCAGCTTCCCTCTGTTCCAGGGGCCCAGTTCTGAGGCCTGCTGGATGCTTGGCCAGCCAAGAGTGGTGTCCAGTGACTGCACTCCTTCATGTCTGCTGTTCAGCACGGCCTCCCAGCCTGGCCAGCAGGGCCAAGAGCTTGTGGGGAACAGAGAGGGTCAGGATGCTGCCTGCAGGACCTGGGTGGCTGGCCCCACTGGCATGGCCAGAGAGAAGGGAGGGACAGCAAGAGAGGCCGAGACCCTCCCTGAAGACCCAAGTTCAGGTCCCACCTGCTGAGCCACCCAGGGCCTAGCACGCCCTCCCAGCCACAGTGTGGGTAGGCTCAGTACTGATGGGAGGTGGTCATGAGCTCTGTAGGGGTGGGGTGTGGGTAAAACCTGTCCAGAGCCTCCATCTGGCCTGGGAGCTGCCCAGCCCAGCCTGCAGCTGCTGCTGAGACCTTGCAGCCTGGGGCCCTCAATCCTGTGTGGGTTGCCACCTGCAGAAGGTGTTAGGGAGGAGGGGCCCAGTGCAGCAGTTTCTGTTAGGAACATCTGGTTCCAAGCAGCAGCCAGGCTAGGCCACAGGGTCCTCTCCTTGGCACTGTCTGGGGGTCCACAGGGCTGCTCAGAAGAGAGGCTTTGCTTTCTTCTTGGGGGGCTAAAGAAGAGGGGGTGCCCTTCCACTGAGAGACCCTGCCTGAGGGGGGCCGGTGCACACAGAGGGAAATCAGGACTGGGTGTGGCTGGGGTGTTGGGCTACAGCAGCCTTGGGCATCCCGAGCTGCCAGGCAGGGGGCCCTCGGGCCGGCCACAGAGCAGCGGGCATTGCCGCGTCTTCCACAAGGGGGCGTGCTACTGGCACTCAGTGGCCCTGGCCGGCCACCCTGTCCCGGGACAGTCTAAGGGGGCAGGTTCGCTGCGTGAGGGATGGACAGGCATCTGACACTGCGCTGTGGGCAGCATAGGGCCCAGGCCTGCCGGATGGGTCCTGTGAGCTGGGACAGGCCCTGCCCGGAGGGTGCCCTGTGCCTGTGACAGTACTTTTTCTGGTCAGCCCCAGGAAGCAAGGGGAGCCCCAGACTCCATCCCGAGCGCTCCGCCCAGAGTTCCCAAGGGAACTCTGACCCTTGGATGAAAAACCAAAAAATGACTCCCCACGCCCCCCAGTACCGGGGGAGCCTTTTCCCTAAAGGGTTAATATCCGTGGGGACCTCTGGGTGGGGGCAGGGCAGTGAGGAGCCCACGACTGGGAGCCGGACAAGGGATAGGGGTGCGGGCGCGATGCAGCCCCTGTGCAGGAATCAGGGGTGCCTTAGGGGTCCCCAGCAAACAGGGGGTCCACCCACCTGAGTCCAGCCAAGAGGGTCCCCCACCGCGAGTCCCCCCTTCCTCCTCTGGGAGTCTGAACCCAGCTCAGGTGGGACCCGGGCCGGATGTGTCCTCTGTCACCTGCTATGTCCTCCACCCACGTTTGCGACCGAGCCCCCCACATGCTTCCTTTGGGGACACTGGTGGCTGCCCCTCCGTGCCCCAGGATGAGGACTGCACACAAACTACCACCCCGCCCCAGCAGGGTCTCAGGCCTCCGCTAACAGGGCCGGGAGCCGTAGGGAAGTAGGCAATGGGTCGCTCTGAGAGCGGAGACCGCAGACCACCGAGCAGGCTGCGCGCTCGGCTAGCGGCCCCGGCCCGGCCTCGCGCTGGCTCCTCGGCCGCTGGCCAGGGCGCAGCGCGTTCTGGGCGCCCGGGGCGGAGGAGGCGGATGTGGGCGCGGCTCGGGCTCGGGGCGGGCACGCGGGGCGGGGAGAGGGCGGGGAGAGGCCAGCGGCGGCGCGGCGCAGCACCGAGCGAGGCGAAGCGAAGGGAGCCGAGGCGGCGGGGCCGGCCCAGCGC